TATATATATATATATATTCTACCACCGTGTCGCCCAAAGGATCTATACCCAGCTGTGTTTCAGTTGTGACAGTCTTCAGAAGCTGTAGCCTACAAAGGTGTCGCTGGCAAAGCCTGTGCTACCAGCCTAAATAAGACTAGTCCACAGTGAATTCACAACCCTCAAAGACATTTGCTGTTTGAGCTTGTTTTGGAGAATGCAGCAGCTTCTGCTGGCAGTAACTGAAAAGCCCCTGAAAAACTTTCATAGTGGGATTTGATAGATGACAGGTCCTGAAATGGGGCAGCATATGTGTACTCTCAAGTCGAGTAGTGCGCACAAAGATTTCCGTTGCATGAAAGACAGACACAACTGCTGTATCATATCTGTATATGTGGATTTGTGCATCTTGATTCTGGTACCACTTGATGCTTCAATATTACTGTGATTGTTTTGTTTTGTTTCTTTTGACCAGCAAAAAGAAAATACATTGAAAAAATTATCAAGACACTGTTTTGGTATGGTGAAACAATGTCTTACAACAAGAAGTTTACTGGTTCAAATCCTGTGGTTGATGGGATGTTTCTCTGTGAAGTCTCTGTGGCTTCTTTCCACAGTCCAGAGACATGCATGTTTGGTAAACAGAAAATGCTAAACAGTCCATGACTAAATAATTTGCTTGTACGACATTGTTAAATCTTGCTTATAGTCTCAATTGCTATAAGATCAATAAGTCTATAAAACTGTTATCTAAATACGACTCCATTTCACAGACCAGTTACAAACTAGTATCCAATAGAAGCTGAGATGAAGTTGTGCTAAAAGTTTGTGATGAAAAACTCAACAACAGTGATAGGTCTGTCTGGTAGTAATGCAACACAGTATACTGATTAGAGACCAATGATGATGTTGTAGATGTACAGAAATTCTGAAAGTCTGAGAGCCAAGAGTGTGGAGTACTAATGCAAACAAATAAAGGAGTGAAACCCAGAGCAGATCAGCCAAATTAGGTGGGCTTCAGGCCAAAGGAGCAGATCTGAGAAATTGTGCAGACTGAATCGTAATTTATGGTTCAGCAAATGTGTCTGTCTGCATACACATTAGCAGTAGAGGACCTATGTGTCTGTCGAATTGGGAAGGAAGGTATCCCGCTCCTGGTG